TAGCTATAGTGAGCCTTCTTGCTTCTGGAGGGTTCCACTTGTACTTTCAGTTATATCAGTTGTTAGGATGTCATGGGTCTTGTCCCGACTTCCATCTTTGTCAGTTAGAGGCTTCATAGATAGACAATAGAGTTTCAGAAGTCTGTTCATTTATTTTCTTAAATGTTTTAAAGACTTGAGTTGCCTATTTTTTACTAGTTATATATTCTGTTATATTCAGAGTAAATCAATTGAGTTAAAGCTTTGTATTTGAGTTTCATGAATTTCATTCAGTTTTAAGCTTTTGCATCCTTAAGTTAGTCTTCCGCTTGTAGTCAGCCAGGATGAGGGTTCACTTGGGGACCAACAATGGTTTTTGAGTTCCGGCCACGTCCAGGGTGTAGGCTCGGATCGTGACAATAGTTTTTCTTTTATTTATTTAAGTTTTTTTCAGGGAAAATGCATAAGTACCCCCCAACCTATGCCCGAAATTCCAGAGACACACTTATACTATACTAAGGTCCTATTACCCCTCCCCCGAACTTATTTTATATATAATTTTCTACTCATTTTCGGCCTACTTGGCACTATCAACCAGATAGCTTGAAAAAATTGTCAACACGTGCGGGTCCAAAAGATAGTGCCACGTAGGCCGAAAAGGGGTAGAAAATTATTTATAAAATAAGTTCGGAGGGCTAATAGGACCTTTGTATAGTATAAGTGTGTCTCTGAGATTTCAGGTATAGGTTGGGGGGGGGGGGGGGGGTACTAATGCATTTTCCCTTTTTTTTATTCTTTGTTCTTTTAAATTTCTTTGAAAAAATATTTTTTCCCTTTGAATAATTTGGTACTCTTATTGATATGGATGATTGAGATAAATGGTGATTGGGTGATGAGTATCCTTGTATGATTATGATAGACCCCACTTGAATAATGAGTGTCATACTATTAAAAAGAGCGAGTTGTGTGCACCTACCCAATCTTTTGGGTGGATTGTATGTCATGTATATGGTGATCATAATGGTAATTGAAATGGTTGTCCTAACTCTTATTCCCCTCCCTTAGGCCCCTATTATTATTTCCTGTTTAGGAAGCTAGCGCCCGCTCTCGCCCCAATATACGTGTAGGGGAAAGCACCAATGAAAGTGAACCTTTATTGTTTCGTTTCCTTTTCTCTTCGAACCGATTAGAAGGAAGTTTTCTGTTATTTATTATGTTGATAGGAGTGATGACATGGAGGATGCGGAAAAAGAGGTTCGCAATAGGGATTTCTTGAATTTCTGCAAGCAAATAATGGACGCCTTGGGCATAATACAATTAACAATCAGGGAACATATATCAAAACACATGGAACTGCAAGCTATGATTGACACTTATAAACATTCCTAGCCAATACTCAATTAGAGGAAGAGATCGAATCCCAAAAAGGAGAAAGTTATGAGGAAGCAAAGATAGTGAGCTAATCTTGGCCGGAGAAACAAGCTCAACTTCTCAAGTTTCAAGAGTCTCTCCATGATGATCTTACATACATGAAAACCCAACTGACAGAAGGAAGAGTTGAGCTCAGACAAGAAATAAATCAGTTTGGCTCAGATATTCATGACTTGGAGGCTCGCTTGAACAAAAAGGTTGAAGCGTTTGATGTCCAATCACCAATTGTCGTGGATGATGATTAACTAGTGGAGAAAAAAAGGGAATTTCAACCATTAAATTATACTTTATTCCTTAGGGTCAATGTTGAGAAGAAGTACAAAAGTGAGAATGTTGTAAATAATGTTGCTTTGGAGTTGAGACATCTTGAATCTCTTTCTATACATTTTTCTACATTATATTTGGATGACGACATGAAACTCGAGTCATCTGAACTAGTGGAGGAGTGTATAGATGAGGAACAAGGCTCCTATATCCTAAAGTTTTCTAGTCCACATAGACAAAACGACATTCTTCACATAAGGGTGAAGAAGTGCAAGACATGGCATCTATTACTTGGTTCCTTTATCTTTATACCACCACTTGAGAGGAGCAGGAAAAGTTGATACACAGTTAGGAATGCAATTCATAAGTTCAAAGTAGAAAGAAAAGTGATGAACTTAATTGTGTCGTGTCGCGACGTTAAATTAGGTGCTTATTGGCAGGCAACCCAATTGATAGTATATCTTCTTATTTTTTATTTTTTTAAAAAAATTTTAAGGCACAAGTACCCCTCCTCTCCCTAAACTATGACTGAAATCTTAGAGACACACATAAACTTAACTAGGGTCCTATTATCCCCATGAACTCGTTTTCCCCCGTATTTTTGTGCACCTTTTTCAACCACCCAAGTTGGTTGTGTTTGTACACACTCGCCTGCCACATGTGTAAATATTATTTTTATTTTATTTTTAAAAAATATATATATATTTTTATTTACTTTATCTTGTATTTAAATAAGTTAATACACATTTTTTTTACCTTGTATCAAAACTATTTTTTACCTTCATTCATTGTGTTTTCTCTTTTATTTTTCTATTGATTTTATTTACTCTTTTTATTTTCTTTGTCTTTCATTTTGATTTGATTTCAAATTTAATTCCATATGTCTTGTATTAAAAATAACTGAATTTTGAACGGATATTAAAATAAGTGAAGAAAATCAAATAAAACATAAAAAAATAAAAATGTTAAAATTAAATGACACTTTTAAATTATTCTTTTTTACAAATACACAATTTTTTAAAAAAAAATAATTAAAAGTGAAAAGATAATAAATTAATTAAAAAAAGTTTCAAGTGAAAAAAAAATTAAAATAAATATTTAACAAAGAAAGAAATAAAAAAAATTAAATATATATAAGTTTTAATATCAATAAATATGTATACTAACTAATTATGATGTTACCAATTAAAAAATGGCATGCTCTATGCCATGTCAACATTTATGTAGTATTTCTTACATTTTCATTTAGTTTAGGGGAATAATAGTATCCTAATTAAGTTTAGGCGTGTCTTAAGATTTCGGTCATAGTCTAGGGGATACTTGTGTCTTATCCCTTATTTTTTTTTAATCACTTTTTTGTGTTGTTTTTGCAGATTAGGGAAAGTTGAGTACCCAAAAATTTGAGGCAAAAGAACACGTTTGAGCTTAAGTGTGGGGTGCATACCATCCTTCATGAAAATTGAGAGAACATGATACTAGTTATTTTTTAATATAAACTATTGGAAATTTCAAACATCCATCTTGAACCGTAAACAATTCAATTATTTTTAACAATGAAAAAAGCCTAAAAGATTCACTTAATGTGAAATAGAGGGAGTAGTATTTATTTTTAAATTAAAAATGATTTTTTGAAAATTAGAGTTGAATTTAGTTATGAATACAAATTAAATTGTTCTTTTTACCTTTCCGAAGTAATTTGGAGTGAAAAAATGAAAAGACCTCTTTGTTGTTTTTTGAATTTTTAAAAACTCTAGAATTCAACTTACTTTAAATTTTATAATCAAACATGTTTTCTAGAGTTAAAATTCAAAAAAGGTAAAAAAATTTAATGATAAAAAATTACTATAAGTAGGGGTGTTCATGGTTCAATTTGAATCGGTTATTAATTAAAATCAAGTGTAAATTACATAAATTCCATAGTTTTAATTTGAAATTACAATCTATCCCTAATAAGTTTCTAATTACATTAATCCCTTAAAAATTAATAAAAAACCGGATACAATAATTGAAGCTCGGATACATTAAATACTGTCTTGGATACATTAATATGTAGCTCGGATACATTAAATACTGTCTTGGATACATTAATATGTAGCTCGGATACATTAAAAACTAGCTCGAATACATAATATGTAGCTCGGATACATTAAATAATGGCTCGAATACATTAATATGTAGCTCGGATACATTAAATACTGGCTTGGATACATTAAAGAAATAAGGGATTTTGGAGATTTTTAAAAATAATAGGGGATAATGGAAATAAGTGAAACAAAAGGTGTGTATTTCTTTAATTTGTCCTAAAATCAAAACCAAACCAATTTAATCGGTTTTTAAAATTCTAAACCAAGCCAAGCCAAATGAAAAAAATAATCATCAATTTGGTTTGGGTTTTTTGGTTTAAAAGTAATAAATTAAATTTGTTGAGAGTATACAAATCTCAATGACACAGACACCTAATACATGGACAATCCACAAGAAAGTTATTATGAATTCAATTAACAATACTAGAATTATTATTACATGAATAAAGTGATTCAATTAAGAGAAAGTGAGACTAGGATAGGTAAATTAAAGTAATAGATTTTGATGAACTTAGTCTTAAAAATTTAATAGTTGGGTTACAATTTAAGTATTGGGCTTGAGAACATAGTAAAGTTACTTAAGATAATTAGTTTAACAAAATATTTATATTTTATTTATCAATAATATATAAATAAATATAAAATTTATATAGATAATTTCTCGGTTCGGTTTGGTTGTTTTTGCGGGTTTTTTTAGTCAAACCAAATAGTATCGATTTTCAAAATTTAAAACCAAACTTAACCAAATCAAACCAAATATCGATTTTTTTTAATCAGTTTGATTCAGATTGCGGTTCGATTTGATTTTTTAACCATAACCATGAACAACCCTAACTATAAGGCCGTAGCGGCCTTCCCTTTTATACATGGCTTAACTTATGGTTTTTTATACACATGTGAATCTATAAGGTCGTAGCGGCCTTCCCTTGACCTGGGCATGAGGCTTTCCATGCACCCATACCACTAGATAGTAAGCCATGGTAATTTTTCAGCTAATTGCGAGGAAAGACAGAGTAGATAGCAACTGGCAAGAATAAAGGACAAGTAATTCATTTCCCGATCTTCTCACGCTGAAGTGGAGAGATCCTTAACCATCGTAACCTCAGTTGCTCCACCAGTATTCCAGCACTCTAGTGCTCAATCCTATCTCATTTAAAGCAACATGTTCAGAGACGCGCGCACCTGTTAAATTGAAATCTCGTCCAACATAACCATTGTAACTTTCGATAACTTGTAGTGTGAACAAGAATCATAACCATGAATCACAGGGACATTCAGACATTGGAATACATCTGGATTGCCTTGAACTTGAATGGAACTAGTAATCAACTCCTTGCATGGGAAGTGATACATAGTGATGGACACCTGTAACAGAGTTAGTTTTGGCATCCATTCAAGTACTACTGAAAAGGAAAAAAGATCAAGTTTTAATCATACTTGTTTTCAAACAAAAAGTCATGGAAGGCAGAGATTAGGATCTTCTTCATCTGAATCAAACTCTACCTGCAACAAGTCAAAATGTGCAACCCGTATTAGTTTCATATGGACCTTATCATACATTCGTTCAACTTCAAAACATTTACTTTGATAGAGAGAATTGATTTTTTATAAAAAATAATCCATGTGATAAACCTAGTCATAGTTACAAGAAAAATTGTTGCTTTGTTGTAAGAAACAGCAAGAGAAGAGTTCCACTACTTGGTTCTATAATTCAAATGAGAAAAAAAAACTCACATTTTCATCCTTAAACCACTTCCCATGGCCATCACGCTTCCAGCCAGCAGATGTGAACTTAAGCTCCCTTTCTCGTCGTCCCTGGTTGTATGCCTGAGACATGATAGTTTGATTTGTTGTGACTCCTATCTGAACACATTGACTATTTCTTTGATTAGCTAGAACACTTGTAGTATCAGCCTGGGTACATTTGATCTCATTCCCTTGAGAAGCAGTACTTCGTGCCAAATTTTGATGAAGTATGTCAGGAGCAGCTTTCCTTGTGCATTCAATCAGTGGTTTGCTTGCTGATCTACCTAACTGGCTGGATGTCAAGGTTTTGGAGGTGGCAGTATCACATTCTGACAAGGCTATTCTCTTGTTTATCTCATCTTGCCTCCCTAATTCTCTTTCTCTAAGCCTTGACTCTGCTGCTCGATGGCTTGAACCTTTGACATGTACCTACAGAAGCTTTCTGATTATCAGGGGAATTGTCACAGAAGAGAAGAACAAGCATCTCGAAGTTGAGTATTATAACATGAGAATTTTATTTATTTTTTATCAATTAATAAAATGAGAAATGACTAAAGTACATCTATCAATGAACATAACTACATATTGATCCAGATTTTGGAAAATCGGTAAGAACGGATGATGTGTGTCTGTATAGGATGTCTATCAATTAAACACAGAACTTCACTAGTCGAAGACACTGATCCAAGGAAGTAGATGTCCTTCATCAACTGGAAAACAGTCAAAAATCTGAACAGAACCTAGTCAATTTTTCTTTCTTTGTTTGCAAGCAGGAAGCACCTTAGAAGAGTGTGTGGCATGATTAAGATAGTCATATTCTACCTATCTTCCATGGCTCACTTGGACCTACTAAAAATTCTTTGTCCAAAAGAAGTAAAGCTTCTTCTGATAATTGGGAATTATCACGGAAGAAGATGGTAGGAGAACAAACATCACCAGAAGTGAAGTACTATAATATGAGAATTATCCTAATGCATCATCTATCAATGAACATATAGACATATATGTTGTATTCATGCATTGAAAAATTGTAATATGCATGAGCATTATGCCTATAGTTTGTATGCCAATTAATCATAAAACTTCACTAACTAAAAGTATATGGTGCAAAGAGGTAGGGGTTCTTCCCTATTAATCCACTCAAACATATTCTTCTGCCATTGATAGTAAGAAGAGAGATATTTTTGTGATGCTGGCAATCAGGTGCTTTTGGATGAGTGAATGAACCTTTTTTTCGTCGAAAATGCGGACTAACACAAAAATATTTCCAATCAAAATAATAACACCAATAATTTTTACGTGGAAATTCTACCAAATAATGGAAAAACCATGGACCAATAAGAGCAACTGATATCACTATAGTAAGGAATTTCACACAAGGTAGTCACGAGTACAATACTTTAAAGTGGCTACTACACACTGTCAAACTCAAAAGAAATAACCTCTTTTGATTTCCCACCTTACTAAAATATCGCTTACGCTCTATTTTTCCTTCACAGGCTATTTTCTTGTAGTCTCTGGTATACCTCACTTTGCTCTCTATTTTGGTGTACTTATGAGAGAGCAACAACTTTCTATTTATACAAAAGATTGCCAACCATTTAGAAGGCTTGGTTACTTGAAACTTGCAATTGCAAATTTCAACATTTGTTGTCAATCAAATTTATCTGCCAACCTTTGACATTAAGGAAAAGAAAAATAAAAATCCAAGTAATTTGACACATGGGGATGGACCCCACAATCTCCCCCTCCAATCTCATGCAATCTCCATCTTCTTAGAGTGCTCATGCCAACAAGTTCTTTAGATAACTCGAACTTGTCTTTTGGTATCATCTTGGTCAGCATATCCCTAGAATTTTCACTTCTGTGGATTTTGTTGACATGAAATGATTCACTCTCCACTTACTTATGAATTCAATGGTATCTCACGTCGATGTGTTTTGTCCTTGCATGATACATGAAATTATTGCTTAAGTCTATTGCACTCTGACTGTCACAATAAACAATGTACTCCATATGTTGCAATCGGAGTTCTGGAAGGAATCACTTGAGCCATATCATCTCTTTGCCAGCTTTAGTAGCCACAATATACTTGCTTCAGTTGTAGACAGTACAACACACTTCTCAACTTTCACTGTCATGATATAGCTCCCCCGAAAAAGTAAACAAATATCTAATAGTTGATTTTCTTTTACCATGATTGGATTTGATGCTCCGAAACAGAAGCATTCATCTGAAGTTGAGCAAGAAGATGTATCGTATAGTTAGGGAGGAAAAAGAGAGCATGGCCAAAGTTCCATATTCATCCACCGTCGAAAGTTTAATGATATGCAATAGACTTGATATTACTCACACAGTTGGTGTTATTAGTAGGTTTCTCGACAATCCCAAGAAAGAGAATTGGGAAATTGTGAAGTGGATATTCAGGTATCTAAGAGAAAGCTTAGATGAATGCTTGTGTTTTGGAACATCAAATCCAATCTTGAGGGGCTATACAAATGTTGATATGGTAGGTGACCTTGATAACAAAAAATCCACTACTAGATATTTGTTTATTTTTTCAAGGGGAGCTATATCATGCCAATCAAAGTTGCAGAAGTGTGTTGCACTGTTTACAACTAAAGCAAAGTATATTGCAACTACTGAAGTTGGCAAAGAGATGACATGACTCAAGTAATTGCTTCAAGAACTTGGATTTCAATAGATGAAGTACGTTTTCTATTGTGATAGTCAGAGTGCAACAGACTTGAGCAAGAATTCCATGTACCATACAAGGAAAAACACACTGACATGAGATACCATTGGATTCGTAAGCAAATAGAGAGTAATCATTTCACATAAAAAAGATCCATACAAGTGAAAATCCTGTGGATATGCTGACCAAGGTGATAAATGATACCAAACTTTTCAACATGAGCTCTCCCTATGAACATGGAGATAGCTCTTTCTAGTGCATGAGATTGGAGGGGGGGATTGTGGGGTTCATCCCCATGTGCCAATTTACTTGGCTTATTCTCTTTTCCTTAATGTCAAATGTTGGTAAGATTCAGAGGAAATTTGATTTGCTGCAAATGTTGAAAAGGTGTGGCAAGTTGTTGAGTGCGAGTGCGCAGTTGCAAATTTCAAGTAACCAAGCCTTTTGGCTGGCTGAAATGGTTGGCAATTTTTTCTATAAATAGAGAGTCTCTGCTCTCTCATAAGCACACCAAAGTAGAGAGAAAAATATTAGAGAGCAAAGTGAGTATACCATAGACTATACAAGAAAATAGTCTGCGAAGAAAAATAGAGTCTGAACAATATTTTAGTAAGGTGAGAAAAAAAAAAGAGGGTTATTTCTTTTGAGTGTGTAGTAGTTACTTTGAATATTGTACTCATGACTACCCAATGTAAAATTCCTTACTAGTTGTTCCTCTTGGTCCGTGGTTTTTCCCTTATTTAAAAGGGTTTTTCTTTCTTGGTGTCATTATTTTCCCATTATTTTGACTATGTACTTTTGTGTTAGTCCGCGTTTTCCCAACATTCTTTCCATCAAAACACATCCTTAAGCCATTCGAGTATAGTAAAAAAGAAGGAAACATCCTCTACTAAATTTACATGTCCACAAATTAACATTATCAGTGAACTGATGTAACCCCCTACTAAACAAGCTCTACATAATCAATGTTCAACTTTCTATTAACTACACTGGCTAATCTGAAAGCTTCTCCTTCCAAGAAAAATTGTAATGGAGGGACGTTGAAAAACAATGAGATGCAGTACATACACTCGTCTTCTCAACGAAAACTGCCAGCATTTGCATGAGGTAACTAAAACTTGTCTTACTCTTTAGCAGCTTAAATTTGTACTTTAAATTCGTACCATAGCTGAATGACCTGGATTATGTTGTTCATTGGGAATTTAAGAAGGGAGAACATACATTGAACAATACCATTTATGCCAAAAAGGTATGAAGTTAGAATAATCTGTTGCATAGTTGATTCACTTTCCTACTATTTCATCTCATATTTGGTTTCTAAATTTTTTTAAAGTTTAAATGTCATGATCATGAACTTGTACTTTAAAAAAGGTCATCCACATCAAACTAAAGTTGGTCCATCAAATTGTAAAGCACACGAGGTTAACTTTTGATTGTTAAAAAGTTACTAAATGAACCTAATTCATTCTAATTTCATCTAAGGAGTTACCTTTGTTATAATTGTTGAATACATGCAAACCAATATAGTAGTCGTGGGAATCTTAATTTCTTAGTTGGTTGGCTACGTGAACTTTCACCTTGTGTTGTTGGTGAGGTTCAATTCCCCCACTTGCAATCCCCTCCCCCATTTTTCATACTTCACCTACCACTCAAAACAGTGGATGGAAGATCAATTTTCGTTAATTTCAGAAGATAAGATAATCAAATAACAAAAATCAAAATTAAAAGATACAATCGGAGCAAAATTAGGTTTATGTTTTGGTATGTACGTACAGAGAGCATGAGGGGAGTGTCGAGGACCGGACGGTGAGAGCAAACGATGCAGACAAATTTGCCGCTGGAGAGCTTCTTATAAGCAGAAGAATCGATGTTGTCAACCATCAATTCATCGACTCTTCTCTTCCTACATTGCGCTTCCCTCGCCCAGCTATCTCCTCCAAACACACTCATAGTTTCTTTATCCCTCCGTCTCCTCTATACTTCGCCGGAATCTGTTAATACAACTCTCTTAAATGGATATAGTGAATAATGAAAATTCACCGGTACCGGAACCGAATCGCCGGTGAGAATCGAATTTAAACTGATATGAAATGTGAGACCCGAAACACTGGAGCAGGCTTTAGCAGAAATAAAAGCCCAAAATACTCCCTAATATTCAAAGTAATCCTTAGTTTTCCCACAAGGAATTGGTTGGTTTGAATAAAGTTATGATACATAAATTATCAAGATATTAGTTATGATGAGATAAATTATATTGAAATTATTTTTTATTGAGTGTTTGTTTGTTGTACTAAAAATAATATATTTTTCATAAATTTTAAGAACAACTTATTTGTTTACAAAAATGCCCTTCATGAATTAATCTGGTGATGTATAAAAAAGAAATAAAGAGAAATCTTTGTCATTTACCTATTTTATCATGGAATAACTTATCCCAGAATTACTATATCACCCAAGAGGAGGGATAACTTATCCCGGTACTATTTATTAATCCCGGGATAAGTTATCTCGGACTTATCAATCAAAAATCAAATTAAGTGACACTATAATTTAATCTCAAAATTATTGGGTGTTATCCTTCACACCAAACGACCCCTAATAGTTCCTCATATTTGTGAGGTACATCTTTGGTTTGCTCTTAAATTTTTGCCTATTTTTTAACATTAATTTTATCGACAATTTATGTATGAGATGTTCAATCATCTTTTTATATATTTAGTAAAAATAATAACTCTATGTGAGAGAAGGTGAAAAAAAGAACACCTTGTTTTGTATACTAGAAATATTATTGCAACTAAATTTGAGAGGTTCATTTTTTTGTTCAAATTTTGGGTAATCAATATTCTATATTCTAATAAATAGATATTTGTGTTATGATACAAGACCACATTTTCAAAAAAATGGATGAGATTAGGTCCCAACATATCTAAACAATCTTGTTTTTGAATATGAAGAAATAATGAAGCCATTGCAATTGACGGAAAGACTAGGCTTACTAACGACACAAAAATAGATGGAAGGTTCAAATTTGTCATAGAATGGGGTACTAAGGAGAGGAGGTTAAAAAAAGATGTTAATTGATCTAAGGTCCAATGGATCACCATGCATAGCAAGGAAAGTAGCATTGATGGAACTGGGGATCGCACCTTCAACGAAGAAATAAGGTCATGACCGGTTGAAAGTTTTTGAAATCCCAACAATATTTTCTAATCTCACCAGGCCAGGCAAAGGGGGAGGAAGGGATGGGTGGTCCAAGAACAATAATGAGAGAGGGCTATTTATTATTATGGATATGAAAAATCTCATGTAATAGTATGATTTTTTTTTCTTGCACCGCCATATGTAAATGTGCTTTTAGTTTAGCTGCAATAATATTTCTATTGAACAGAACAAAGTGATTTTCTTCTCACCTTCTATCACATGGAGTTATTATTCTACTAATATATAAAAAGACGATCGAACGTTCCATACATAAAATTATGGATAAAATCAATGTTTAAAAATAGGTAAAAGTTTGGGAGAGGAACAAAAGTGCAGCAATATTACAAATATGCAATTATCAATGCTCCATGTGAAAATGTAAGGATTACTTTGAATCTTAATCCAAAAATAAGGAACTATTTTGGGCTTTTCCCCATATCCTTCACCATAAAGTAAAATTTTGAGCAACTTTCACATATAACAAACATAAAAATCATAATTGTATGCTATAGCTATAGTTTGCATAATTGCGCTTCATAACAAATTTTATAATTGCTATGGAGCTTTTGATTTGTATAATTCGCTACAAACATCCAATTTCTTACAAATTGTTCAGTTTTGTATTAATTCATTTATACATTGTAATTTGTATAATAAGATTTGTATTTGTATAATTATAAGTGTATAGGACGAAAATAAATGTATTTGTATTTGTATATACACTTTTCTCTCGCTTTATACAAACAAAAACACATTTTATACCGAAATGTATAAAATGGCTAATTGTATATCGAAAATGATGGAAAAAAAAGGGAATGTTTACTGCGAATTACAATTAAAATAAATTATGGCTATAGCATTTAATTTGAATTAATAATTTGCTATTTCATACAATTTTTCCTAAATTTTTCATGGGCGATCATTTTAGTCTATTACTAAAAACGTCCATATCCAAATTATCAAATATAGTCATATTTCTCTTATTTTAACTAGGGGTGTCAGGTGTATGACCTGTGTCAACACGGGCCAACATCACGTCAACTTTATTTGAAAAAACATAATCCTAATAACTAAAAAGTAAATAATATGTTTAAATTTAGATTCAGAGATTAACAAGATAGTTATGTATATTCTATTTAGATATTAACCATATGCAATGTATTTAGCTAAAAGTTAGTTAGAGTGTAGTCTCCTTGTTCTGATCTTCGATAAGAACATTTGACCCTGTTGCATGAGATAAACAAGGTAGTTAGCATTAAAAAAGGGAAAAAAATATACCATTAAAGAAATTAGAGTTGATATAATAGTATATGTAAGGAAAAAAAAATATTTAGATCCATTACAGAGATGAAGAAGGTTGAAGATAGAGAACACATCCAACAAATTCAACACGTGTGCTCTTTTTATCATTAAATTAAAAAGGAAAAAGGGACAAATATATCCCCGAAATGCAGATACCCTCTGTCATATTTTTGGGACATTGGTGCATCTGCCGTCCAAAAATTAGAGCATATATACCCTTTATACTAACGGATATACACGTGTCATAATCTTATCCACCGACCGACATTTATTAAATATTGGATCGATGGATAAGATTGTGCCACGTGTCCCTATTTAGTCTTTCGTTAGAGTGAAGGGCATATATGCTCTAGTTTTTTAATGACAGGGACACCAATGTCCCAAAAATATGATAGATGGTATTTGCATACCATTTACAATAGTTCAGGGGTCTATTTATCATTTTCCCAATTAAGAATAAGGGTATTTCTATCACTTAGGCTCATCAAGCTAATGAGTTTTGTTTTTCATTCTCCTAGGTTGTATACATGCATTTCAATTTGGAGTTGAACAACAGATTTTGAAGCAGAGAGAAAAAAAACAAAAACAGGTACTCCCTCCGTTTCACAAAGAATGACCTAGTTTGCCTTGACACGGAGTTTAAGAAAATAAAGAATATTTTTGAATCTTGTGGTCCTAAATTAAAGTTATGTCAAATGTACAAAATTATCCTTTAATCTTGTGGCCTTAAACATGTCACGTGAAAAGCTGAAATTAAAATGTTACCAAAAAAGAAAAAGGTCATTCTTTTTTAAACAAACTAAAAAGGAAAGGAGGTCATTCTTTTTTAAACGGAGGGAGTAATTACTTTGCAGGTCACATCATAGAGGCTAAGGAGCCGTTTGGTAGGAGATATTAATTAAAATAATCCTTGGATTAAAATTTAGTCCACCCAATACAATGTTTGGTTGCACAATTCAACTCAAGCACACCTAATACATGGATAACTTAATACATCATATGTGGTCTTATCTAATACCAAGGATGTCTAGGGATTACTAATCCTTGGATAAGGAATCAAATGACTGAATTGCCCCTCAATTTTTTTATACATCCTTTAGAATTGGCAAAAATATGTACGCTATTCTACTCTTTGGAATCATTTGTCCTGTTTTCATCAAAGTTATACGATTTCGTTTGTATTCAAATTTTAACTGAAAATGAATTTTCTCTCAAAACTTTTGCTATTATTTTCATAGCAGTAGTTGGAGCTTGGCCTTCCTTACAGCTTCAAGAAAAAACAGTAGATCTCGTTGGCTATTGTTTTTTCCTGTTTTGTTAAGAGAGGAGGGAGGTAAGCCTGGGTCATGGGTACTTAAAATAATTTCATCTCGTTTATGAGTGAGACTTTCTCAAGTAAATTAAATTTGTTAAGCACTTCACATTCAAGTTTTAAACCACAATAAATATGGTAATTATATTATATATATATATAACATAATAATTCAAGGGTAAAATTGGAAAAAAAGTATTTTTTAGAGTTCTAAATCAAACACAAGATTAGGTTAGAAACAATGAACCAAACACTTCATAAAAAATAATCTCTGCATTGTTAATCCCTGCATTACTAATCCCTACATTATTAATCTTTGTACCGAACAACCCCTAAAAGTATTAAGTTCAATATATAGTTATAGCAAACTAATGAATAGAAGAGCTAACCTAATATCACAATAGTTAAAAGCAGTTGTAAATTGTAATAAATAGAAGGGCTAACATAATATCATAGTAGTTAAATGCGATTGTAAAATGTAATGAATAAAAGAGCTAACATAATATCATTAGTAGTTAAATACAGTTATAAAACGTAATGAATAAAAGAGCTAACATAATATCACAAAATCTAAAAACAGTTGTATTAATGATGTAGCCGTCCTTTCAAAAACATTAGCACAATCTAACAATTCATTCCTCGCAAAATCTCGTCGATAACAGTAATTTGGACACACAAAACTTTGTTGGGGAACAATTAAAATTTCACAATAATAATAATAATATAACTTATTATTTAGCAAAATAGTAATCCTGAAAATTAGGTAAATATTACTACGATGATATATAAATAATAGTGCAGAAAATTAATACTTTAGTCGTGCTGGACATTATCCTAAGAAACTATTTCAGCAATGTGAAATGTTTCCCCAGAATTAAACAAGTCTTCCCTATTTAAATAGAGGATAGAGGAATCAATAAATTAATTAACATCAACAAGTTCTTAGTGAGGTAATTAATAAAATGACTAAACCAAAATAGCTAATTTACTTTAAAAGGAAAAGCTAAAGAGAGGGGTAGAACGTGAAATCAAGAAAAAATAATGTTAGCGTAGTTTTTTCATTTTTTGATACCCAATTCATAAAGAGGATGATAAGTGCTAATGCCCCTAGATGTTTTGATAATCTCCTCACAAGTGCAGGGACCTGGGTCCTCTGTAGAGTATGAATACTCGTTCGATGGCAATATGTTGTACAGCTGTAAAAGTTGTCTGTGTCAGGAAGTTGGTGAAGCTGCAGAGTACTTCACCAATCAGAAGCGACGAGGTTGTTTGTACATTGGGTAATAACTCTTCATGGTATATATCAAACAACAAACAACATTATTCGTCATTCATTCAAAAGAGAGATACTTTCAAGCTTTAAAACATCAAGAGACCTGATAAAATTGCTTCTATTTGCTTTCTATACCAGCTGTAATTTTGTTTGCTTGTAATAGTTCTTATATTGTATCATTCGTTTCACTTGTGAAAGAAACGTTTCAAACTTGTGTGAATCATTGTAAGAACTAGGTTAAGGGTAACTTAGCTTCTTACTCTAAAGTCTATATTATCGGTTAGGATTAGTATAGTGGGAAGTGTTGTATCTGTTCTGGCTCAGCTAAGTGATTTGAGGTATTGCTTTTATAAACTGGCTTTTACTATTGCTTGGAGAAGATTAGTGGAAGCAGTTTTAAAAGTTCTGTTGAGAACAGGTTGTGGTTTACTCCCTTGAGCAAGTAGGTTTCCACATAAAGTTGATTGTCAATCTTTACTTTCAGTATTTGTTCTTTACTGTTTATTATTGTAACTGTGTTGAGGACCTGGTCCCATCTATATAGGTGGACACATACATTCCAACAAGTGGTATCAAAGCTTGACTTTTCAAATTGGTTAACACCAAAAAAAGAAAAGATCCTGAAGGAATGACTGTTCCGCCCAATATGGAAGAAGGTCAGTCTTCCACCAAGCCATCGCGTTTTAATGGACAATACTATGGCTGGTGGAAGAATCGAATGCATGACTACATCAACGCTGAAGACTCTGAGTTGTGGGACATTATCCTGATGGACCATATATTCCTACAAAGGAGGTGAATGATGGGGAGCTTACCACTACTGTTGTCAAAATCAGAAAAGACTACAATGAGGCAGATAGGAAAAAGAACTACAAGGCAAAAAAGATTATGGTATGTGGAATTGGAGCAGACGAATACAACATAATATCTTCTTGTGAGACTGCCAAGGAGATATGGGACTATCTTCAAACAGCCCATGAAGGAACACAACGAGTGAAAGAGTCTAAAGTGGACATCCTCACCACTCAGTATGAAAATTTCGTTATGAAAGAGGGTGAAACTATCTTTGAGATGAACTCAAGATTCACCTCTATCACCAACGAGCTCAGGTGCCAGGGTGAGCCTATCCCTGTTAGCAAGCAGATTCGCAAGATTCTTAAGGTGCTTCCTAAATCTTGGGAAAGTAATGTGGATGCCATAACAGAAGCTAAGGATCTGATGACTCTTCCCATGGATGAACTGATTGGGAACCTTCAGACCTACGAGTTAAACAAGAAACAGGAAACGACGGTGAAGGAAGGAATGAAGGAGAAGTCCATTGCCTTGAGAACATCTCAAACTGAGTTAACTGAAGAGGAGAATGAGATGGTGTATGTCACTAGAAGATTTCATAAGATCATAAAGAAGCACAGAGGCTTCCAAAAGAAAACCTCTGCTAGTAGAACCGCTACTGCAAATGATCTATTCCATAAATGTGGCAAGCCTGGTTACTTCATGAGGGATTGTCCTAGTCAAAAGCAGAAAACTCGTGACACTAGACCTCGTAAGAGGGACCTGGTCCCAGATCATGCTCGAAGGAACGCACATGCTGATCAGTTAGTGAGAAAAGCCTTTGTTCTTTGGGGAAATGATTCAAGTGAATCAGAAGAAGATGTAGAAAGTGATGAGTATGTTTCAATGATGGCTATTGAAGATAATGAGAGCGTTTTCAACTCCATTTTCTCCTTGATGGCAAAATCTGATGATGAAGATGATTCAGACGAGGTAACTCTCTTTGATCTGAAGGATGATCTAGATGTTTTCCCTGTTGAAAAATTGAGGAAACTTGTTTCCTTGCTTATTGATTCTGTTGATGAACGAACCAATGAAAACTTAATGTTAAATGAAAAATTAAGTTTATGTGAGGATGACAATTCAGCTCTCATGTCTCAAGTTTCTGAAATGAGTGTAAGGATAGGTACTCTAGAAACTAGCAACATAACTCCTAAGGAGGATCCTGGTACTTCAGTGTGTGGAAAGAGAAAGCTTAGCATCTTTGAGAAAGAAATGGAAGAAAAGCTTAAAATTTTTTAGTCCAAGCTAGTTGCTTCTCTTGAAACTATTTCCCAACTGAGAAAAGATCTGAGTAGGGTCAAGGAGGAGCTAATCCATTCTCTAAAGTGGATTGGTTCCTCTAAGATACTCTCTAACCTGTCTAATCAGAGTTTCAGTGGAAAGAAAGGGTTGGGATGCAAACCAATAGAACCTCCCTATAATCCTCATAGCAAATATGTGTCTGTATCTGATAATCTATTGTGCACTCACTGTGGACACAATGGTCATCTAAAATAAAAGTGTGAGACTCTGAGAAAAGCAAAAGAAAAACATGTGAAATTTGTCAGATCTGAAAACAATGATAAAAAGGAAAACAAGGGACCTGGTCCCTATTATCGTTTCAGTAAGAACACTTTGCCCCTGGACAGGAAGGTTTCTTATCAAGCCTTTTGATACTTATTGGGAACTCTGTTTGAAGTGGGTTCCTAAATCTAACAAATGATTCTTATGCAGAAGAGATAAATGAGTCAGTGTTGGTACATGGACAGTGGATGCTCAAGGCACATGACTGGAGATACTTCAAACTTCTCTCTTTGAAAGCACACCATGGTGGTGGTGTGTCATTTGGTGGTGGAAAAAAGGGTTATATTCTTGGTATTGGTAAAATAGGGAGATCTGTTGATAACTCTATAAACAATGTACACTATGGAAAGGGTCTAAAATACAATCTTTTGAGTATTTCACAAATCTGTGACAAAGGAAATGAAGTCAAGTTTATGGCTGATAAATGTTTGGTTACAAACTGCATTACCAAAAGGGTTGTCATGTCTGCTACTAGAGTAAAAAATATGTATGTTGCAGATCTGGACTCTATTAAGGGAGATGATTTGTCCTGTCTAAGTGCTTAAACTGACGATGCAAATCTGTGGCATCGACGACTGGTCATGTGAGTACTTCCTTGTTGAACAAACTTGTTACAGGGGACCTGGTCCGTGGATTTCCAAAACTAAAGTTTTCAAGTGATAAAGTCTGTGATGCTTGTGCTAAAGGGAAATAAACTAAGTCATCATTCAAAGCTAAGAAGGGAGTCAGTACAACGAGACCTCTGGAGTTGCTCCACATGGACTTATGTGGACCTATCAGAATCCAAAGCAGAGGAGGTAAGAAATATATTCTTGTCATTGTTGATGATTTTTTCAAGTTTACTTGGAACATGTTCCTGCGGACAAAAGATGAGACAGCTGGACAACTGATCACCTTTTCCAAAGCCATCCAATTGAAGATAAAAATTACAAGATAGCCAGTATCAGATCTGATCATGGTATAGAGTTTGAGAACTCTCAACTTTAAGGGTTGTGTGCAGAAAATGGAATCAATCACAACTTCTCAGCACCAAGAACTCCTCAACAAAATGAAGTTGTTGAAAGAATGAATAGAACTCTGGTGGAGATTTCTAGAACTATGCTGATTGATTCAGGACTTGCAATGAATTTTTGGGTAGAAGCAGTTAATACAACATGCTATGTAACAAACATATGTCTTGTCAGATCTGTCATCAAGAAAACACCCTATGAGCTGTTAAATGACAAAAAACCTTCAATTGCGCATCTTAAACCATTTGGGTGCAAATGTTTTGTATTGAATAATGGAAAGAATAATCTAGACAAGTTTGATGTCAGGAGTGATGAGGGTGTTTTATTGGGTACTTATCTACAAGCAAGGCGTACATGGTGTTTAACAAAAGAACTCTCTGTGTTGAAGAAAGCATGCACGTCAAATTTGATGAATCTGGTACAAGGAATGAAAACAATGAGGACTACGAGTTCGAGGAGCTGACGAACAAACAACAGGTTGATTAGGTACAAAAGAGATGGATGCTGAACACTCATGAGGACCTGGTCCCTCAGGTGCATCACATGAAATATTGTCTGAAAGTCTTGAAGAAGATGAAGTTGATTCTGATGCTGACAGAGAAGAAGAGATCACCAGAAAGTCTGGATAGAAGCATCAATCTTCGCATCCACTGGACAATCTCATCTCTCTACTTGACTCAGGAATTCAAACTTGGTCTAAATCAAGAAATCTAGTTGAACATTGAACATTCATATCATCCATTGAACCCAAGAATATCAAGGAAGCTTTGAAGGATGTAGACTGGTAATTTCAATGCAGGAGGAGCTTCATCATTTTGAGAGAACCAAGGTGTGGCACCTAGACCCCAGACCACTTGACAGAACCATTATCGAGACCAGATGGGTCTTCAGAAACAAACTTGATGAACATGGGATCATTACTAGAAATAATTCAAGACTCGTGGTACAGGGTTACAACCAAGAAGAGGGAATTGATTATGATGAGACCTTTGCTCCTGTAGCCAGAATGGAAGCCATCAGAATCTTGATAGCATTTGCCGCTCACATGGAATTCAAATTGTTTCAAATAGATGTCAAGAGTACTTTCTTGTTAAAACAGGCTCCCAGAGCTTGGTATGAACGCCTGTCAAAATTTCTTTTCACCAATGGGTTCAAGAGAGGTAAAATTGATAATACCTTGTTCTTAAAATCCAGAGGTAAGGAATTGTTAATTGTGCAGTTCTATGTGGATGATATCATATTTGGAGCCACTTCAGACTCACTTTGCAAAGAGTTTGCTGATTTGATGAGTAGTGAGTTCGAAATGAGCATGATGGGGGAACTCACTTTCTTTCTAAGCCTGCAGATCAAACAATCCACTAAATGCACTTCAATATGCCAAGAGAAGTACATCAAAGAGTTGTTCAAGAAATTCAATCTGCTCGAAGTAAAGGTACTGGATACTCCCATGAGCACAAGTGTGAAACTTGATGTAGATGAAGATAGTGTGGAGGTAAATCAAACCATGTACAGGGGAATCATAGGATCACTTCTATACCTCACTGCAAGCAGGCCAGACATAGTGTTCAGCGTAGGTATGTGCGCAAGGTTTCAAGCAGCACCAATGGAGTCTCACCTAAAGGCAGCCAAACGTATCCTGAGATACTTGAAGGGAACTCAGGACCTGGTTCTCTTCTACCATATCAGTGACTCTTTTGATCTTATAGGTTATGCTGATGCTAATTATGTAGGTTTTCTGTTGATCGAAAAAGCACATCAGGCATGGCACACTTCCTGGGATCAACTTTGATTTCATAGGGAACAAAGAAGCAGAATACCATTGCATTGTCTACTGTAGAGGCAGAGTATGTGGCTGCTTCATTATGATGTGCATAACTACTGTGGATTAAGCAGCAATTGGAAGATTTTGGTGTACTCACAGACAATATTCCTCTCATTTGTGATAACACTAGTGGCATGAATATGGCCAAAAATCCTGTCCAACACAAGAGGATAAAGCACATAGATGTGAGGCATCACTTTCTAAGAGACAATGCTAAAAAGCAAAATGTGGTGATGAGGTTCTGCAAGACTAAAGATCAGTTGACTGACATCTTTACAAAGCCATTAAGTAAAAAATCCTTCATAAAAAACGGGATGAGGCTAAGGATGCACAAAATTACCTGACTGCTTGACAAAATTTGCATAAAATCAATCTTATTGATTATGTTAATGAGGGCAGATATCTATACGTGTTTTAATGTTTGTCATAAAAGAATTCACTTCTGGTACCTTAATGCAGGTATACGCTCATCGTGTGTCTAGCGGAAGGGAAAGTTTAATCACACAGGCAGAGTTACAAACTGAAAGGAGGACCTAGTCCTCATAAGGTTAGTATCACTTATGCTACACTATCTAAATGTCAACATCATTGCCACATGTCACTCGCCCATTCATCGCATCAGTTTCAAATGTCGCTTTTAAAACCAAAGGTCGCCACTGTTGGGACTCGATACCTTTTAACTTTAAATATTAATTCTCTTGGTAAGTCAATCTAAAACCTTATTCTAAAAATCTCAAAATTTCTCTCCAAATTCTGCTTCCCTCTTCTCTTCAAAATGCCTAACTCTGAGTCTTCTTTCAAAGACACCTATCTCCCAAGAGGTTGAAAACCGTAGTTCATTCAACTTCTTTGTTCCTCCCCTAAAAGAGTCTCTATCTACCCCATTCTGTGGTGTTGGTGAAATGGATGATTTTGTCACTCCGCCGGCCGACATCTTAGCCTCCGTTGTTCTTCCCTCTGAGAATATTTTGGTTTGTTCTCCCACTCTGGTTTTATCTGGTGACAAATCCCAAAATTCAAAGGCACAATCTGTGGAAAAACCTAATGTTGGACTTCCTTCGGAAGAAATTGATATTTGTTCTATGGCAGTGTCGTCTACCATATCTGAGAGATTGTTTGAAAGGACTTGGCCAGAAGGGAAATGTCCTGAATCATGTATCCTAACCGTTGGGGCGGAACTGGTGGTCGTTCAAAGCTTAGCCTCATTGAGAGGTGATGTTCAACCTACTCTTCTGGAGCATGAATTGGAGTCACCAGAATAGGTCCCTCACAAAAGTAAGCCTATCTTTGACCAAACACCAAAATCCTTCGATGTTGGGAGCGATAAGGAAGAAGAAGAAGTGATCCCATTAAGATGGAGCTCAAGGGGAATGTGAGGAGGAAACAAATCTCAATTAAATGTTCTTGAGTTGGAAACAGTTAAAGGCATGCCTGAGATTGACATTGTTGGTAAATCTGTTGAACGAGAAAAGGAGCGACAGAGAAAGGGGAAGGGAAAGTTGGTACTGTCTCACTCAAAAGGGGACAAATGAAGTATTTTACAAGGAGCGAAACACAAAAGGTTATGGAGAGTGCTATTGCGGTAAGCAAATCCCAGACTGAGAGAAATAGTAAGAGATGAAGAGAAGAGCTTGAACCTGAACAACCTACCTCTACTCCTCTGTTTATTGAGAACAGTGAGAATGAATCTGAGGATGCTACCAAGTATGTGGCAAAAAAGAGAAGAGAAACTGAGGAAGAAAGGATTAAATCAAAGGGAGATCAAAAAGGGGGAAAGAAATCTCCTGTAAAGAGGGTGAAATCACCTACAAAGAGGATGAAGGTTAAAAAGCATAAATCTCTAGCAAAAGGAGAAAAAGGGAGAAAGCAGTTAGAGGAACAACCCGTAAAAGGACCCGGTCCTAGGGTTAAAAATCAAATCGAAGAAAAGGAATTGACTAGAGAGGAGTGGGTAGAGAAAATGGAGCAACAAAGAGTCTTGAATGGTAAAGTCTTTGATCCTGACATTTTAACAAAATTTGGTATGGCCAATCTGGTTGACGTTGTTACCATTCAAGGCTGAAATCATCTTTTTGAACCACCAGTTCCATACTTGAACGAACTTGAAGTGCATGAATTCTTCTACAAAATGGAACTACTGGAAGGTGGTGGAATCACAACTATTGTCAGGAATGTGGAGATTCGTCTTGATGAAGAAACTCTGGGAATCATTTTTAGAGTGTCTGTGGTAGGAATTCGAACTATTGAGGATTGTAAACAAACTGGTGATTTCTTGAAGATTGCTACCAAACGAAGAGATGTCAAGCGTGCAGGGCATCATAAAAAGTTTCTCAAAGGGAAGTATCAGTTGATGTTTGAGTTCATTAACATAGTAATGGTGTAATGGTGCCCAGGACTGAGAAGAGAACAGTGGCATCCGCTGCCAATCTTTTCCTCATGGAAAAGCTTGATGAGCTTGAAGAAATCAACCTCCTTGCAATTATGCTGGAGCACATGCACAGGATAATGACATGGAAGAATGCTAAGCACGACATTCTTTATGGGTATCTACTAAACTTTGTTTTCAATCATTTTGAAGTTCCATTGGGAAAAGGGGTACCTGGTACCATCAAGCAGATGTTCACTATGTCTACTCTACTAGAATGTGAGTGCATTGAGGGATAGGCTTGGGGCAGATCTCAGGTGGCGGATGTTTTGGAGCAGCAGGCTACTC